ACCGGCTAAAACATAACTTGCGGTTCTGTTGGATAAATCAGGAACATGATGTGAAGGTGGCTTAAATCAGACCCGAATCATAATTTTCATATCAGAGTCCCTTCAATGTCTACAGTTCCCTTTCAAACAGTTCTCTATCGTGCAGGAAACTACCATGTTGGATTCTTGGTATGAGGTACTATCAGTGTTGCACTTGATGGCAGTTCTATTGTTCACAAGCCAATTATGCTTCTTCCGAACAAATCTACTGCTGGCTATCAGAATACATCATTAGAAGGTGAGGGTGACAAGTCTGTTTCTTGCACTTCCAATGCTCGTTGCTATCGAACAACATGATTTTTTTTCTGCGACATTTATTTACAAGCGCAGAAGGCATAGATCATAAATCCCTTGTATATATTTTACAAATACTAAGGGATTCCATGTGAGGGTTTCCAAAGAATTTTGTGTACCAGGGTTGCATTAGTTATGCATCATGAGTTTCTTAGATCCTTAGTTTTTGTTAGAAGGTGTTCATGCTTTAGTTTTACTAGCATCGACAGGCAAGGTTACTTCGATCTATCTTTTAACGACTAGTAAGTTTTCAAAATGTATGAGACCACCACACAAAGATCACAGGAGAAGTTTTTTTAGCAAACATCCCGGTACTTAATTTACTTTAGTTCTAGTCTTCATGTTAACTTATATTTAGAAGACTTTAGTTTCTTTTCCATCTTTGTGTTTTCTTCCTTTTGGATAATAATTGGGGCCACAACCAGGGGTGGCCTTCCCTTAGCCCTTTTCCACTTGAAGATCCCTTTTACTTAAAGTAAGGGGAAATTCCAATTGGTACCTCGGGCAATGGTAAATGTCAATATCTTTTTCTTAAGCCGATAACTATAAGGTGTTATGCAGGGATTACACATTAGATTTCTTTCCATTCCTTGCACTTAAACCGTGACCTTCTCCATTTATATGACTAAATCTACCTTTTTTCTTCATTTCTCTAAGACTGCAACGAGCATCCATCGACATTTTCTTAAAGGCAGCTGGATATCTGGATTTTGCTGTGCAGAAAGTTCTTCCCCAGTTGCCCTTGGAGCTTAGGTTTGCTCGAAAGATTTCTGCCTCTAGTGTTATCGAAATGATTCTAACATTCATTTTCCTTATGCATCGACTAAGCAGTGCTTGAAACTGTTGTTTATCGCAGGAATGATTTGCCGTTAGACCTGACGGAGGGAGTGCTCAAATCTCTTTGTTTGCAAGCATTAGGCCAGGTAATATTTCATAGCCAGTGAGGCTGATATTCATTTCTTTCGGTTAAGGACCTAAAAATATTGAACATTTTAGACGAAGGCTATATCACTCTTTAAATCGAACTACGGACAAAGGTGGTCTTAGTATCTAAGTGATGGCAAATTTTGCGGTAATGTAACGTGTGGTACAATCGTGTAACTCGAATATCATGTTTCTAATTAAAGAAATCGGAGGCTGCCTTTAATTTTGAAATATTTACAGGGTGTTGAGATTCAACTGGGAATGGCAATTGATAGCATCAAGGCTACACTGGCAGTGAAAAGGAGGCTAGCATGTGAGATGGTTAAATACTGGCATCAGGTAAAGTTATTATTCCTTGCATGGAAACACACACGAGCGCATATATATATGTTTGTTTGTGTGTGTGTGTGTATGTATGTATATATCATGTCTTTAACAATTTTGTGGTTTGTACATATAAAATGCAGGCTCATGAGTACATAAAGGACCTTCCACTAGCAAATGGATGGGGAGAAAGCACAAGCTTTTCGTTCAGTGGAAGCATATTGAAGCTAAGGTACAATTCTCATCAACCACCCACTAGACAGCACAAGTAGACATGCAAGCATCTCATAAGGAGCTAGTAGTTCATCGCCATCTCATCCGATCTCCTTGTTGGAGGTCTTGAGCTGGTGTTTTAACTAACGAGCTACGGTTCTTGAGAAGGATATAAGTGTAGAAATTGGTTTCTTCTGAGAGAATGTTTCTTTCAGCCTGCAAAAATTTTGAGGGACTATTGTTTCTGCGACTCGACTATCTCTCTTAACTCAAATCCGGTCTTGTCGAGATCGAAAAGCTTGATAGAAACATGTATAAGAAAGTAACTGGCTCACCATTTTATGTTCCAGGCTGTTGCTTACTATCTCCATGGATTAATCCTGGAAGAAGGGAAACGTCTGCCGACATTGCTGCAGCGGCTCTCCAAGCAGCATGAGTATCTCAAGAAAGCAAAAAGGCTGTGAAGGATTCCATATGGCACTCCCTTCATCACGGTAGTTTACTTGTGAACTCTCCCTGTATATAATCTATATTGCTCGGACTTTTTCATTTTTTTATGACGTGCATGTCCAACACTTACACGAGTCCGAGTAACATAGTGTAAACTAAATGAATGCCTGGATGTGCGACGTAGTAATCTTCACTTATACAACAGTACCTATTTGTTTTTTTTCCCCAGTAATCCTCCACTGGGGAGCTAGCAAGTATCTTGCTGAGAAGATTCCAAAAGATGTACCAAGCAAAACAATCAACTGGGATTCGCAAAAACATGAACTGTAAGTCCTTTCCCCCTTCATTTTTACACGCAAGAGTGATCGAGTCGAAAAGTAGTTAAATATGTTAAAATTCGAATCCCAAACTCGTCGGATGCCACCTGCTAAAGCTTTGGCAACCCTTTAGAATTCGGAATTTCGGATAAAGTAACAATTAGTCCCTGAGCTTGACAACTCTTTAGGATCTACATTTGTACCGGAACTTGACATTTTTTCCAACTTGGTCCATGAACTTGATGTACATTCCAATGTTGAATTGTCGGAGATGATCTTTTAAACACCCAATTTATTTATAATTGACCCCATTTTTGTATCATTTGCCATGACGCTGGTTTAAATTGTATAAAAAGGAATACTTATTTTGTTCAATTTGGGTCCCAGGATTATGCAAATAGCACCAGCATTGCCAGACTTTGCATTGTCCCTAAAGCCTGATGAGTATCAGCTTCCTTCAATGGATCCCTCCTGGAAAGCCTGAAAAGCCAGTATGAGATTTGTATTAATCAAACTCTGAATGATGATAATAATGATGATTGATGTAAAATATTGAATGATTCTAAATCAAAGTTGTTGAATGTTTTCCATTTTTCAGGGATGATCTTTAGCCTTCTCCGTGTCTCATTCTTTAAGTAAATCGAAAAATTAATGGAACAGAGAAAATAATTCATTTATTTATCATAAACATATTTACAATTGATTTTTTCTACCTTATTACATATACGATCTGTTAAATGATTGGTTTTAATTAATTTTCACACAAATTACTGAATTGTAGATTTACAAATTATATTATTGTGTTTAGATAAACTTTTATATTATCCATTTGTATAATTCAATATACACCTTTCATTACAAGAAATCCCACCTATTGATAGTGATCTTCCCAATTCAGTTGTGTTCATAGATGGTAATAAGTTGTCCATAGATGGTGTCCATACATGGTAATAAGTTGTGTCCATAGATGGTGTCCATACATGGTAATAAGTTGTGTCCATAGATTGTAATTAGTAGGGATGGTAATGGATCTTAGATCGGACCTGAATCCGTAGAACCAAATTTATTTTATATGGTCTGCATTTTAAAATTTTAGATTTGACGAATTCGGATTGGATCAGAATTATCTGATTAAAGTATGAATTTAAATATGGATCTAATCTAAGATATCGAGTCTGGACATGTTTACTCATTTATAAAAACTCACCTTTAATTTTAAAATATATATAGATGACATAATAGGTTTTAAATATATTTTACAGCAGAAGTGTGAGTTCTTATAAGGTTGATTTTATACTTACCTTCTTTCTGAATTTTGAGAGATTGTTATATACCCATTGAATAGTTAGAAGATTTCTGTAATTTTAAGGTATTAAGCTTTGATCTCGGCACTGAATAAATTATTTTTTCTTTGGATTATTCTATTATCAGTTGTATTGAAATTAATCTTTCTTCCATTGAAGGTGTTAGCTAAAGTTAGTCGATAACAATTTTAGTTAAAAATAGGTCAAATGGTTGTTTTTTAACAGACCCGTTTTGGACTCGGATCCGTTTGATCTGAATCTGAGTCCCAATTTTCTAAGCTCGCGGATTCAAGACGGATTTGGATCCATGATGTAAAAATAAGTCTAGATCTAAGCCTAGTTTGAATCCAATCTAGATACGACCCGCTGCCATCCCTAGTAATTAGATTTAATTATGAGAAGTTTTGGCATAATCTGATATTATGTGCCTAATTCTTTCATTACATTTCTCGTTACATTTTTAGACGTATACTGTTAAAAATCTCTACATTGGATGCCTACTGTTAGAAAATCTATTAAGTGATGTTCAGATTTTTTTAAAATATTTTAAAATAATATTTTATTTTAAAAAAATAAGTAGTGGGTGGACTCTAGTTGATAAAATGCAAAAGCAATGATAAATTTGAGAATTAGATGAAGCAGTATACACATAACACAAAATACAGAACCGGGGAATATAAAACAGACATCAAGTAGCACATATTAATGGCAATGGAAATAGAAAAAATAAACATTAAAGGAAAAGCTATATTGCAACCATACAGCAACTTTGAGACAAGACTCGACATCAATGATCCATTAATACCCAGTAGTAGTAGCTTGGATGGAGCAGAACAACAATTCCAGGAAAGGTCCATCTGCTAGCATTGTACCGACGCTTCCTTGTTCGCACCTTTTGAACACCAACTGCTCGGATAATTTAACAGGTACCGCAGTATGCGACTCATTTCGATTACAAGAAGTATGGAACTCCGGTCCTCGGACCTCTCATCTGATTATTCTTCAGTTTCAGTGAAGAACTTTACTTCTCTCCTGAACAAATGTCGAAAACCAGAAGAACCGTGAGTGGCACAGCAGGTGTTTGTGTGAAGAGTGTTTAATAGCGCCAGTACAAGTTCGGAACAATAATAGCAAGAAACAATCTCCAATCCTAATCGAAAAGAAAAGTAAAAAAATTTCTCACCATGTTCTCATTGAAGCTCAATATAGAGGCTACATTCCCGCAACGGTAACAATAGTTCGGCGCAGACCAAACCTGCAAAAAAAATAATCAAGAAATTTCATTAAGCTCTTAATAAAGTTAAACTAAAAAGATTAAAGCAGAAAGTTCAGTCTTACTGTTACTAGGCCTTTATCCTGAAACATATACTTAAGACCTTCTTGTACAAGTTGGTGAGCTCGGCAAACAAGCTCAAGCTTGTTTATGTGGTTGAACTGCAATAGATGACAAGGTTAAAATATAATATCAGAATGAAAGCATAACTATAGACTTGAGATGAGATAAATTACCTCGGATGTGACCCTGGACCCAAATAGCCAACCTGCTCCACGTGGACTGACTGCCCATGTTTCGATCTCTTCGGTCATCCACATGAGATCACAGAATGGGCCTTCATGAGGGATTTCACAGTTCCGGTCAATTAATCTTATCTGGCATAAAGCAGAAAACATAAAAGGGCATCAACATCACAACCAAAAACGAAATGAACATGCAATCAATACACTTATAGTAGAACAAAGTTCTCGGGAGTAATACTTTCTAAAGGAAATATTATCAAAGAGAAATAGATGGTCACTCACTAAAGACAACTATAGCTTCAGCTTAAAGCCAAATAAAATGCAACTGCACAAACAATTTAATTTTTTACTTGATAAGACAGTGGATGATAATTCACATAACCGAATAAGGAGAATATTAATCCTGCGACTAGATGGTTATAAAGTCAATAAAGTAACACGCTGCAACAGAGCTACTTAAAGGACAAAAGCTGATCAATTAAATGCAAACTTCTAGGTATTGATGCATATAAACATGCCAGCCAACCAAAAAACAGAGAATAAGAAAATACTTGATCAATTGTCCGTATGTCAGGAGAAAGGCCACCATGTACACAAAGTACCTGCAAAATATAATATAAAGAACTATTAAAGAGGTGAAAATAAGGCAATTAGAAATAAATGATTTATAGATAGAATGCTTACAGTCCCATCTATAATTGCTGAAAGTGTAAGATAGTCAAAAACATCTGTACAATACCGCCATGCATTAGCATTTCCATACTTCCTCTGGCACTCATCATAGAAGCCATAAACCTAGTAAAAAATTGCATATGCACCTTAAAATTTCAGTCCTTGGTATTTGGAATGCTTTTTTAAACTATAACTTCAGCACTGCTCAACTACCCTTAAAATCAAATTAATATGATATTGGCACATAACTCTTATGGCCTGGACCCTTCGATTTAATATGCTACTCCAAAACTAAAAGGAATTCAATCCCTTTTTCCTCGAAGAAGAAAAGAAATTAAACATGGAACTGTAATGAAGCTTTAAGCATGACAAGAAACAGCCGCAAAGAAAGATAATGAACCAAAAGAAAAATAAAGCAGAAGACACTTGTAACACACAACAGAACATGCATACATTTTATAAGGTCTTTACGAGCATATTCCATTGTGGTATAATTCAAAAGCACACCTGAGTTAGCTGTCTGCTTTCATGATTTCCCCGCAAGAGTGTGATATTAGCTGGGGTACCTATGATTCAGGGGCAAAGACAAATTATAGTTATCTCTTATCTCAAACGAGAAATAGTATTGGTCCTAACCGTCCAAAAACAGAACTAGAAATTTAATGCCCTTATCAAAGGCATAGAAAAAAAAACAATAGCAGAAGCAAATCATTATATCTGCATCTTTAGTCTTCCAAACACAACTATGAAGCTGCATAAACATCTAGTGATATCTTGCTACTAAAACACCACGATAGCATCAAAAGGATTAGTTTGCCAGAAGTAGGAAAAAAATTGGTGATTTCAAAAGTATAAGATTGAGAACTCATTTTTTTCCTATAAATTAAACTACAATCATATACCATGGTTACTGATTAACAATGATCGGATACTTCTTGACCCAGGTATATTATACGTTAGAGGTCTGAGAATTGAGCTAGTAATCACATAGCGAACCAAGAGCAATCCAGAAGCAGAGAATAATGCACCAAATACATGATTGAAAATCAGTAGATAACCCCATGGAAAATTATATAGACGCTTACCTAGCCTTGAGAAGCAAAAGAATAGTAAAAACTTCAAGACTATTATAACCTCGATCAACAAAATCTCCCTGTCCATTAACCAAAATCAATACCACACCAGACGGAAATCACATAGAATTAGCAGAGAAGTTTCCACGCAGGAGATATTACCATAAAAATGTAATTTGTATCCGGTACATGACCTCCTGTCTGAAAAAGCTTCATTAGATCATGAAACTGGCCATGGATATCACCACACGGTTACCGGACTATTGAGGGTTGCACATTGGATCCTCAATGAGGATTTCTTTTACCTACAATGTTTTACAACATAAGTATACAACGAACTAGGTTCAAATAAAATGACACAGAATAGAACGCAAGTTGACATATACTAACCACCAAATTATACCATTAAAGAGAATAAAACATAAAATGAATTCTATTACTATATAACAGTAAAAAGATACAGAGTTACAGACACGATTCTCCAAGCAAATAAATCAGGGTATACAAGTTATTTCGAGTCCACAAGCTTTATTTTTATTAAAAATAAAATGCTATCATTTAAAGAGGACAAAAAAAAACATAGATGCCGTGAGAGTTCCAACTTCCAAGTACAAAGACGAACTGGATATTTATTTCAATTCTTGATTTATTTCCAAATGATTAGCTTCATTTTAACAAACGAATCAATCATTTTCCCAGATCATCTCGATTCCGAATAAAAAAACACTACGCAAACCCTAGTTTTGTCAATCAAGAGCAAAAAATAATGAAAATAAGGTAACCCGATTGAAATCCCTAAGTAGAAAGGGAAGGGGCGAAAAAACAAACAAAAAGGATATGGAAAAGGGAAAATACGTATTCGCAAAGAAGCTGAAGCTCGTCTTCCAAAAGATGTTGGCCGTCTTTAACCTTTGATATCCACTGATCCAATCCATAGGATTTCTTCTTCGTGTATCGGAATTTGAATCCCTGATCTTCTACTGAGGATTAAAGAAAAGGGGGCAAAAAGGGGATATGAATAAATATGAAATTTCTCGCTCTTCTCCCTGAATCTAGGGTTTTAATCACAGGGGAGACGGCGAGAAGATACAGAATTTCTCAATTAACATTCTCTTTATTCATTTATTTTCGGGTAAAATACAAACTAGATTAGTTAGTTATTAATTCGATTACAATTGGATCACTTTTTTAAAAACTATTATAATTTGGTTATTGAGTTAAAATATTTTTATAAATAATTATTAGCCGTTAAATATTAGACGAAATAATGATGTGGTCAGGTATAATAATAATTTTAATTTCTAAAATTTATGAATTATATCAGTTTGATCCTTGTTGAATCACTTTAATAAATTTAATCATTTATATTTAAAAATTCCATCAGATTAATCTTAATATTATCTTATATTTATTCTCTCGTAAATATTATATTACATTATTATACTTTCATGGTAAAATAATAATTTAACAGACACTTGTCATTTAGGGTGCGTTTGGTTCATGGAATGTAACATTATCTCCGGGAATAAAATTATCGAAATGTTACATTACCTTACACATTACTGGGAATGTTACATTATTGTGTTTGGTTTGTTTGACAGAAATGTATGATTACATGATTTGGTTAAAGGAATAAAAGATTATTGGAATGCATATTTTACTAAATTGTCCTTATGATATTTTTTTAACAAGTTGAATTCCAAATATTCAAATGAAAATATTTATATAAAAATTCATAGAAAATATATTATTGTATTATTTTCAATTTATATATTTTTTAAATTTTAAATTCATAAAATTTATATTTTTTTACAAAATTTAAAAGATAAATGTGTAGATTAAAAGAGTAAATATATCATGTATTCTTTTAATCTTAATTAATATTTAAAAATTTATGATAATAAATAAATAAATAAAATTCTCGGTCGGAAATATTTTTAAAATAAAGTTATGATAATAAATTTATGATAATATACTAGCTTTTGAAAAAGTAAGGTATTTTTGAAATAAATCTTTTAGGACAAGGATATTTTAGTCCAAGTTGAAGGGAAACAACAAATACCTAAGCCAACCATGGGATTAGGATTCCCGGTTATATTTGAAAAAAAACTACTATTGGTAATATTTTATTACCCCTATTAGGAATATTGTTCATCCAAACATGAGAATCACAAGTAGGAAAAAGATATTCCCACCAGTAATGTTAAAATCATCCATCCAAACGCCCCCTTATGGTAACATGTATTACTCTCATTCGATTAATTCACTTAATTTGAAAATCAATTCAAGTTGGCTGTTAATTTTATTTCAAAATCAATCAAAATTCGAGTTAAACAAAATTTTCTTAAATTTAGATTGAATCGAATGACAAAATAATGTTTAGGGTATTCCATTAATTAGTTTAAACATGTACTATAGAGGTGAGGGCGACCATTTCAATCTAATTGTATTTAGGGTAAATTAATTATGCATATAATACTTAAACTATTAGTTTTGGTCTGTTTTAGTGCATAAACTTTTAATTTTTTAGAACATGTCTAATGTTTAGTTTTTGTTTCATTTTAGTACTAGCGTTAAAAATTTAACGGAACTTTTGCATGTGACTTTTTATGGCTAAATTACATCATTCGTTCCTTAACTATCTTTTCATCCTTATTTTGGTCATTAAGGTTGAAAATTTTTAATTTAAGTACTAAACTTTCAAATTGCTCATGTTTTAATTACTCTAATTTATTTTATTAGTAATATTTTGTGACATGATATACTTTTATTATTTTTTAATATATGATTAAAATATTTTTTTTTTTGAAAAAGTTATAATGATTAAATTATGAGTAATTTACAAGTTCAATAATTAAATTAAAAAAAATTAAACTTCAATGACCAAAATAAGAGTGAAGAGATAAAATAAATAAATGATATAATTTACCTACAAAAAGTGACAAGTTATAACAATTCTACTAAATTTTTAATGGCGGAATACTAAATGAAACAAAAACTAAATGTTATGTAAAATTTTTAAAATATATATTATTTTATAATCATAGAATATTATCATATGCATAAACCAAGTGGTTTTCGTAGTAGTAAAGGAATTATTGATATTCTTTGATGGTCTAGGTTCGACTATCATATCTAAATCATTATGTTAATGTCCAACTTAGATAATCGCTAATTTTTTATCGAAAAATGACGAGTTTGGAACATAATAATAGTTGAGTGGCCATTTTATAATTTTTAATAGTAAATGGACATAACAAAGTAACATTCTATAGTTAGAGTGTCATTTTGTAACTTTTAATAGTCTATGAACTCAATAAAATAGTATCCTTTAGTTGGGGACCATTTTTATATTTTACCCTTTTTGAAATAAGGCATTTTTTTTGTTAAGATTAAGCCCGTTTAAATGCACAGACAGAGTTGGGTTATGTTTTGGTGTTGGCGGACAAAACAAAGCGAAGCCACTGGCTGGCATTGAATCCTTCACGCTATTAAAATGGGCTTAGTTTTCAACATTTTTTCAGTTCTCAGATTCTTGTTCAGAAATTGGAAAGAAAAATGGCTGTATCAATGTCAAAACCTTCTTTCTCAGCATCAATTCCCATTCCAAGGCCCCGTAAGCCATCGTTTTCGGTTTCACGAGTGAAAATCCGATGCGAGTCTTTAGATTCAGCCTCGCAGATCGATGCCAAAAGGCCGCCGAAACCCAAACCGTTATCGGCGGCCGGGAAGTTGATGGAGTCGGGTACGAAAAACGGATCCTACCCGGGCGGGATGGGGCAATTTACGGGAAGAGACCCTAACGTGAAGAAACCGGAGTGGCTGAGGCAGAAAGCTCCGCAAGGGCAGAGGTTTGATGAGGTTAAACAATCTCTCTCTCGCTTGAAACTCAATACCGTTTGCGAGGAAGCTCAGTGCCCCAACATTGGAGAGGTAATCTTAATTTTTGATAACATTTTTTTTGCTATTAATGGAGAAGGGTTTTTGAATTTTTACTGTTAAGTGATCGATTTTTCTGGACAGTGTTGGAACGGAGGTGGGGATGGCATTGCGACTGCAACGATAATGGTGCTTGGGGACACTTGCACACGAGGCTGTCGATTTTGTGCGGTTAAAACTAGTAAGAATCCGCCGCCGCCTGATCCCATGGAGCCTGAAAATACAGCTCAGGCCATTTCCAGTTGGGGGTAAGCTTTGCCTTGTTTAGTTTCTATTGTTTACAAATGTTTGTGCTTCATTGCTTATCAATGGCTTTCGATTGTTGAACTGAATATCCGGGTTTCCCTTGCTGCTTAGTATTCGGTAATTGATTTTATTGTCTAAATAGTTGTAGCATAATTTATGATTCTGGTGCTGTTTGTATTTGTAGTGTGGATTATATTGTTCTGACTAGCGTAGATCGTGATGATTTACCTGATGGTGGAAGTGGGCATTTTGCTCAGACTGTCCAAGCTATGAAGGTTGTATATCGAACTCGTTATTGCATCTGCATGCAGCTGCTTTTGTTCCCCTTTTATTTTCTTCATATTTTTGAGGACCGGATTGGAATGTCTATTGAATTTTAGAGGGTTTCTATATGATAATGTGCAGAAACTCAAGCCGGACATCATGGTTGAGTGTTTAACTTCTGATTTCCGAGGTGATTTGAAAGCTGTAGACACTCTGGTACACTCTGGACTAGATGTCTTTGCTCATAACATTGAAACTGCGAAACGTCTCCAAAGAATTGTCAGGGATCCTCGGGCTGGGTAAGCGCATTCATTCAGTCATTCCAGTTCAACTGAGTAGACGGCATTGACCTAGTGTTTTATGGAATTATGTCACTATTACTT